GTAGGCAATTGGTGAAATTTCATTGGAAAGGTTTTACGAGGTTTTTATTGGAATGTATGTAGACATCGGAGGGGGTATATCGTGGTGGAGAGATTCCGGGGCTTTTGTCGAGGTGAAGGAGAGGGTGAGGAGCAGTCAAAGGGAGAGAAAGGGTACTTACTGGAGGCGGGACAATTTATCGAATCTAGGCGCCTCTGTATCCAGGATTCGGTCAGGATTGTTATACCATGCGTATAAAGACGACCTAGTTTGCCTCCCGTTGTCCAACTAAAAGCCAGAAAAATAGGGTGGGGGTAAGAAAAAAAGGGCTAGACGTACTGTCATACAAAACGGAAAACTTCTTCCTCTTTTTTCCCTATTCTTCCTTTTTTTCTCGAGAGCGTTTTTACCTCTACCGTTCATCGAGGAGACACCACTTTAAGTATCCATCTTCATTTTTTTGAAAACCCAATTGACTCTTCAGAATTCATCGCCTCCATTTCTCTGGTTTACTTTTACCGCGAGTGGAAGTGCTACTTTGGAGGGAGATTCGAGAAATTATTGAGGACTTGCATTTTTAGATCCATTGGACGACGACTTAACGTAAAATTGGGGAATACTACTTGGGTGATGTAGAAATGTCAGGACTGTGTTGTCGTGGATTTTTAATGGTTCTCTTTTCACTGGAGGAGATGAAAATATTTGGCGAAGGTAGAAATTAAATCGGGGACCTCCGGATCCTTCGTATGACCTCCTTATGACCTTTTTTTGAGCCTGCGGTAACTCCTCAGAGCCTCCACATCACCTCCATGTTTATTCAAGGCTATCAGTCGAGCAATACAACTTTACGTACCTCTAGCATTCTTCGTTGGTGTGACGATGTTCCGTGCTTCATAAAAAACTGGCAAACCGTAATCAGCGACTTTGAGGACCCATCTGGCATCAATAACGCAATTTCGAGAGGTGAGGAGACCGTGCACACGAATCGGGCTGTTATGCAAGTACTTCATCCCCTGAAATCAAGAGTAGACCCCATTTTAGAGTCCGTTGCCATTGAAATTGAAACGTCGCTTCTTGCGAATAATCATAAATCGTAAAGATAATTAATTGGAGAGTTAAATCACCCGGACGAGACGAGTGAAATAGGACAGTCCCACTGTCAAGTCCCACTGTCAAGTCCCACTGTCAAGTCCCACTGTCAAGTTCCACTGTCAATCACACTGGACTTGACAATTTAAAAATTCATATTTTTTCTTAGAGCACTTTCTGGATTGAGTGCAAGTATTCGATAAACTTTCTTGATATCGCATTTTCACCCCATTTTTTTTTGTCGATACTCAGAAAGTTTTTCTGGCAGGCCGTGCAATCAGCGAGAAGCTATACTTTAATCAGAGAATCAATCTGTCGTCCGGCCGCCGCGGTTTTTCCCAGATTGCCTTTTCCACTTAACTTCATGTCAGCATATCCCGGTTCTCTCGTTCTCCACTTTTCCATATCCCTCCCAATACCTGGAAAATTAGCAGTGGGGTTGGTACACTGAGAAGATGATTCATCTAAAATTAACGTCACTCTGGTGGGTTGAAACTTGGAAAAAGAGTAATAACGGGATGATAGGGTAGAGCCGGTGCAAATGCACGTACATTATTTTTTTTTTTATTCCAAATGGAAATTTACCACTGGTGAAAAAATGAGAGAGAATATATCTCGACGGTGAATTACCCGTGTCAGGGGGAAAATCCGGGCCAAGGAGAATCTTCATTCGAGTCCCTTCAATGGGGATTAAAGGGCGACTTTTATTCGGTTTCAAGATCTTCTTCATGTGGAATCTTTTCACCTTTGATTCAGAAGAGATAATCCCCAGTGAGAGTCAGATGGATTGGAATCAATGGACAGTAACTCGAGATTGACTCGGAAATTTAGTACCTTCATCATTTTACTGGTATTTTTTTTGTTCTACTGAGCATCTCACGGTGATAAATTCATATACACTGAGAGAAATATTCAATAAAAATTACGTGTATTTTCCGTAATTCTGGAGCGAAATGTGGTTGTCGGAAATTTTACGGAACTGTCACGTAATTTTTATCTAAGGTCACGGAATTTTTCCGCGGTGTTCCGTAATTTTTATCTGAATTATCGGTGAAAAATAACGATACCGTCACTTAAATTTTTCGAATCAACTCCGTAATCGATAAGTGAACTGAAAATTCCGTAATTTTTACTAAATATTTCTCTCCGTGTAGAAAAATTTACTCTGACATTTTGTAATCGTCCGGTGTAATTGGTTCTGAAGGAATTTTTAGGAAAAAGAAAAGTGTAGGAGGAGAAATTGTTATTTCACCGAACGTCAGGGTAAATTTGAGTACAAATTTTCCTTCGTACTTCCACGTCACTTCTTTACATCGTGGAAACACTTTCTAATGAACTCTGAATAATGATTTTATCTCAGTGAATGGTTTATAAAAAAATGGAGAGAATAGATTGAAAAAATTTAATCAATTGATAGAATTAAGATATCGATAGAAAGAAGTGGCGATTAAGGGGGTTTATACCCATATATAACTGAAATGAAAATTTTCTCATTTTTCTGGAAAACTTATAACGGAATTGACGTGAAAAAATGGAATGTTTTTGCGTTTTGTTATTATTCAATGACTCATGAAGTTTCAAGGTGGTGCGACTATTTTTCTGTGATTTTCCAAACTTTGAAAAAGAGTGACGAAACTTTAGAGAAAATGCGTGGAAATTATCACACCACCAGAAAACTTGGTGAGTATTGAAAAAAAATCCGGTCAAAATTAAATCGGGGGAAACATTAAGGATGTTTCACACAGGAAGAAAAATATTCAATAGAAATTACGTATTTTCCGTAATTCCGGAGCGAAATACCTGAGAGTCTGAATGGCGGGAAAATTAGGCGCCCCTTTAATTCTCTGGTGATCTTGTTAAACGCTGAAGATAATTGAACAAAAATTTAGCGCGCATTCTGTTAAAATTTGAATAAAACGGCGATAGTATGACAGGATAACGGAATAATGGAGGAGTTACTCGATGTTTTCCGCCATTTTATCGACCGTCTTTCTAATGATCAAAATGGCGGGACAAGGTAACTTCAATTTAATTATATTACGATTGATTTTCACCGCTCAATCGGTAATTATTCATGAGCGTGAGCATCTGCGCACGTCTGGGACGTGCAGTATCAACAGAATGATTAATTAATAAACAATTAACATGCTGATAGGGTTAATTAAAATTTCAGCAAATTGAAGATAATCAATCGACGTCAACCATAAGACTGAGCCCATCGTATCCAGTGGTGGGGCAAGCTCTTGCCGAGATATTTTTACATTTCAAATGGAAATCAGCATCTCTGCTGGTCATGGGTAAATACCGATAATTAACTGATAACTCAATGTGATTTATTAATTAACCGATTACTTGAATTTGATTGAAGACGAGGAGCCCTGGTCGAGTGCTGCCAGAGCCGTGATAGGTGTTTTGCGGAGTATCGGAATAATTCCACGACATCATGCTCTCGTTTCACAGCATCAGAACGATCAACAGATTCATCAATCACTCGCCTCATTCGAGACCATCATACCACGGGGTAATGTATTGATAATTACTGACGTTATTCAAACCATTACCTGCTCAGCGATTCGGGGATAGAGAAATCTCGTTTAATTTCATCTGACGTTTTACGCATGCAATTTTATGGAATTTTATTCAATTCGATTATAACTCCACCGGAATTCTAGTTCTATTACAATTTTATTGGATTGTTGAACTGCTTTTTATAGTATTTATATCGATATTTATGTTTATAGTGTAGTATTGTTGTTTTTTCGTGTGAATTCTCTTAATTTATGTGGAAAATGTCTTCCGGAAAGAATTCCGAGTTGAGAATTCTGTTCTTTCTGTAAACAATTATAAATTTTTAACAACAAACTTAATTTCCTGATAATATAAAATCGCTGGAAATATTGAAAAATCAGGCAATAATTAAAAAATAAATAATCATTTCCCCAGAAAAGTTTAATTTTCTTAATTATCAGGATAAATGAGAGATTGAAATGAACGGCAAACTCCCATAATTAAAAATTGAAATAATTTTGCGACTGAAATTTGAAATATTTTCTGGAAATTCTCGGCTCTCCTCAATTAATCGTCGATTTAATTGGTAAAAATAAATAGAAATATCTTCCAGAAAAAATTCCAAAGTGAGAATTCAGTTCTTTCTGTAAATAATCATAAATTTTTAACAACAAACTTAATTTCCTGATAATATAAAATCGCTGGAAATATTGAAAAATCAGGCAATAATTAAAAAATAGATAATCATTTCCCCGGAAAAATCCAATTTTCTTAATTATCAAGATAAATGAGAGATTGAAATGAACGGCAAACTCCCATAATTGAAAATTGAAATAATTTTGCGACTGAAATATGAAATATTTCCCGGAAATTCCCGGCCCTCCTCAATTAATCGTCGATTTAATTGGTAAAAATAAATAGAAATATCTTCCAGAAAGAATTTCGAGTTGAGAATTCTGTTCTTTCTGTAAACAATTATAAATTTTTAACAACAAACTTCATTTGTTGTTAGTATAAAATCGCTGGAAATATTGAAAAATCAGGCAATAATTAAAAAATAAATAATCATTTCCCCGGAAGAATCCAATTTTCTTAATTATCAAGATAAATGAGAGATTGAAATGAACGTCCAACTCGGATAATTGAAAACTGGAATAATTTTGCGACTGAAAAACTGAAAAACTTAATTGGTAAAAATAAATAGAAATATCTTCTAGAAAGAATTCCAAGTTGAGAATTCTATTCTTTCCGGATTTTATTATGCGGAATGAATGAAAATCCGGTGGAAAATTTGGGAAAATCGGACAGTACAGGCTTTTTAAATGAAATTTTATGGAACGATAGCGATTGTCCTCTGCCTGCCCCTGGAGAATGAAAAATTAGTCAACCAAGTTATGAAGGAGTTGGAGGCGCTTCCGTCACGGACTGACAACTCGGTTTTCATCCTGGTTCATCCCGAGGGCCCGGAATTCTTCCTCCCGAGTACTGGAACTTTATCCGATAATTCGATGAGTACGACAACGTCAACGACCACCTACCGACCTGCGGCAAAACGCCAAGAGAGAAGATTCCACGGACGAATGAAGAATTTGCTGGCTTTCGCACCTTTCGACAAGAGGTTCCAATCATTACAGCATTCCTCCGTATAAAGCCGCCAGAGAAATTTATCATTTGAATTCGATGAAGAATTCCCGAACTTGGAATCATCATTTTTTATAAAAAAATTTAATTTAAATTCTAACTAAAATTGCGCATCTCAACTCGCCTCACTCGATTCATTGAATTCATTTTCCATCTCTGGCCACCACCTGGGAAAAATATTTCCGTGTGATAAAAAAGAAAATTAGAATAACAAGAAAATGCCATAGGGGAAAATATCACAAAAAAAAAATTGCATGCATTATTATTTTTCTCAATCATCCCAAAAGCAGAGTGATGTCAATCTGAGAATGAATAAAAAAAGCTTTGGCATGCCGATGCAGAAGTATTTTTCCCCAGTGGTTTTTTCCGATCGAGTACAAAATTATTTAAACAATTGAACCGCAAGTATTGTTGAAAATTTTTCACTCCGACAGATACAATCTGGCAGCAATTTACAATGGAACGGAGAAATACAAAGAGCCCCAAATGGTGGAACGATTGAACGAGTCACTGATCATTTTGACGTACGACAATTCAAGTTTAAATACCAACAATAACAAAATGTTCACTTACGGTTTGCTTGGCTGGGGTAGACAAGGAAATAGTAATGGGGGTTGGTATCCAATAGCCGAGGTGGTTGAAAGCCGAGAGTATTTGGTGGTGCAGGAACTAGTGGAAAACGATCTCGTTGATGAAGAGACACTTGACCCAGTGGTGTGTTCCAATGAAAGCGAGTGCATCGGTGAGTAGCTCATCCGTGGATATTTTAACTTGCTAATTGATGGATAAAATGATTTATCAGGTGATCACCGAGGCAATGGAAACGATCACCTCACAATGAGGACATCTCATATTGTTGTTATCATCTTGACGTGCTTATTGTTGACATTTATGTTGTTTATTACGATGATATTGGTCCGGAGGCATTTGGTTAGCAAGAGAGTCTCCAAGGGACCCTTCAAAATTATTCTCACCGCATCTGATTTCGTTTTTCCTCAGCCCACCGATAATAGAAGGGTGAGTTGTACTCTAATTTCTATTCATTACACCACTAAGAAATTCGTTAATATGCAGATCATCTAGTTGACTGAAGTCTAGGATTTTCAATAGAATATCTCGGAAGATTTTCCGGACGCCGAAGTCCTGTGAAATATTATTTATTTTATTTATTCTCTCGCATGTTTAAATATTCCTACTATAAAACATCGGCATAATAATCTCATTGATAATTGATAATAAAAGATAAACTTTAATCTATAGATGACATTCGATAGATAGTCCACCTGGGCCTTAAGTCAAAAAATCTGGGACCTGTTAATTATATTTATGAGAAATTAGACTTCAGATTTGTAGTAAACAATTCGAGATTTTAAACAACTTAGTGAGAACTTAATTCCCTGATAATATAAAAAAAGTGAAAATTGAAAATATTGAATAATCATGGAATAAATAAAAATAAATAATGATTTCCCCGGAAATGTTGAATTTGAAATGAACATCAAACTCCCGTAATTGAAAATTGAGATAATTTTGTGGTTGAAATATGAATGAATACGAGACCTCTTGGAATTTCCCCGGCCCTCAATTAATCTTCAACTTAATTGGCAACAATAGGTAGATGAAGGGATAGAGACAATGCTGTGTTGCTGGCTGAAACAACTGCAGGAATTCGGTGGTCCTGAGGTTGAGAAGCCAGATCTACTCCAGGGCAGCGTTGGATCGCTCAAGCCCCATTTGAAGGCAAGCACTGGTAGTCTAGCATGGCATACCATCCTCAAGGATCCTCGGGCAAGATACAACGTAAGATTGACCCTCCTGAGTGATTCAAAAAGGCCCGGACCATTTTTTTCTTATCACACTTTACGTAGTTACGTTTACCCTCCTAATGCAACTTTATCCACTTTGCCTCTCTATACTGCTTGGGATAAATCCTATTTATGTGGCCCATCTTTTAGGGGGACTTGGTACAACTCAAGGAGCTGCCCTGCCAGACTAACAACTTCGAGCTCAAGGGTAAAGCCATGGATGTGCTGATCATGGTGAGAGATCTTGAGGATTACCTCCCATCATTCCACTTTTTCCGATCCCTCCAAATTCGGGGGCTTTTTCTCTCGATATTTCCAGTATTCCACTATAAATATACATTCACCCGCGACGAGATGAACGTCTACTCGCTCGCCGTTCGATTTTCTAAGGAATATCCCACCGTCCGATAGAGACGATGAATATTTCTTGTGAAACGTTTTTTGCAGAGCGGAATGAGAGTTATGAAGAAAGTTCTTATGAATATTTTGTTGTCTCTGTTCGATCTAGAGATATTCATTGAATCGAGCTGATGTTCTCCATCTGTTTACTGGTTTTTTTTATTAATAAATGATGGTTTTGATATTTCAGATACATGGACTGAGGCATGAGAATCTGAATCCTTTTATTGGATGCTTGACTGAGCCAGCGAGGCCCTGTTTAGTGTCGGAATATTGCACTCGAGGGTCTCTCGAGGACGTTCTCATGCAGGATGAGATTAAACTCGATTGGTCCTTCAGGCTGTCCTTGCTTACTGATCTCGTGCGGGTGATTTAACTCTCCAATTAATTATCTTTACGATTTATGATTATTGGCAAGAAGCGGCGTCTCAAATTCAATGACAACGGACTCTAAAATGGGGTCTACCCTTGATTTCAGGGGATGAAGTACTTGCATAACAGCCCGATTCGTGTGCACGGTTTCCTCACCTCTCGAAATTGCGTTATTGACGCCAGATGGGTCCTCAAAGTCGCTGATTACGGTTTGCCAGCTTTTTATGAAGCACAGAACATCGTCACACCGACGAAGAATGCTAGAGGTACGTAAAGTTGTATTGCTCAACTGATAGCCTTGAATAAACATGGAGGTGATGTGGAGACACTGAGGAGTTACCGCAGGCTCAGAAAAAGTCATAAGGAGGTCATACGAAGGATCCGGAGGTCCCCGATTTCATTTCTACCTTCGCCAAATATTTTCATCCCCTCCAGCGAAAAAAGAACCGTTCAAAATTCACAAAGAAACAGTCCTGAGGTTTCAAGACCATCCAAGTACTCCAAATTTCTCATATTTATCTCATATTCAATTAAACCATTATTTCTTAATTAAAATGTCCAATGCTCGTTAATGCCCCCATAATCACCGGAAATGAAAAAAAAAAACTGGAGCGACGTAAGCTGAGATGAGCTTTTCATTGTGTGTTGAAGATTTACTGTGGACGGCGCCAGAGTTATTGAGACACTCGGGCCTACGTAAAAGAGGCACCCAACCGGGTGACGTTTACAGCTTTGGCATCATAATGCAGGAAGTTGTTGTACGAGGCGAGCCCTTCTGCATGTTGGCACTATCCCCCGAAGGTCAGTCACTAACTCCCATTTACTTATCACACGTACCCCATTTAATCGCCCGATTGCTGGCAATTTCCGATAGTACCGAGATTGTCTATCGATTCTCTGATACTATAATTACATCAGGACTTTCCCTCTTTTCCTTTACGTATGCCGCCTCATGCTCCGATTAACGGATGCCCCCTAGTGCGCCAGCAGGGCTCATGTCTTTTTTCTTTTTTTAAATGTCATTTGGGGCAGAATTAATCAATTAATCTCTTAGTTGGCGTGGGATTCATTTAATTTTTTGGCTTTTCTCATTCGTTATTTATTGATCTGTTACTTCACTGGTTTATATTGGAAAAAATTACTGAAATGATGAGGAGGACAAATTCAGGGTCTAATTTGTTTTTAGTGAGGGGCCGGGGAGGGGGGGTGGATTAAATTAAATTGGTGAATTGGTGAATGAATGGACAAAAGAATAGAGGGTGAATTGATTGACAAATAAATTTGGGGGTGAAAAATTGAAAGCCAAAAATGAAGAAAAAATTGAGAGTTAAAATTGAGGGTCAATTATTGATCAACTAATAAACAATTGAAGGTGAAAAAATGAAGGTAAAAAATTGAAGGGAAAAATTGTGGGTCAAATCCTGAGGATTAACGGATTAGGGGCGCATTGTTAATTAATTAGAAGAAAAGAAAAAAAAGAAGCTACAGGAGGAATAAATCAATGTTGTTATTTCTCCCTGGGAGTGGCAGATATTATCGCGAAAGTGAAAAAACCACCACCGCTCATACGACCCTCTGTGAGTAAGGGTGCAGCACCCCCTGAAGCGATCAACATCATGCGCCAGTGCTGGGCCGAGGCAGCTGACATGAGACCCGACTTCAATGCTGTTCACGATTTGTTCAAAAAATTGAATCACGGACGGAAAGTCAACTTTGTCGACACCATGTTCCAAATGCTGGAGAAGTATTCCAATAATTTGGAGGAACTCATTCGGGAGAGGACGGAACAGCTCGACATGGAGAAGAAAAAAACTGAACAGCTTTTGAATCGAATGCTCCCTAGGTACATTCTCACTGCAATTCTTTAGCCATTGATTATTCATTGATTATTCATAAATAAAACTTTAAGGCCCGTGTGGACTATCTATCGAACGTCATCTATTGTTTTAATTTTATTAACGATTTATTATAACGGTTAGCTTAAGGTTGTTGTCGCGCGACAATCTCTGTAAAAAGTTTATCCGCTGTAAAACGGGCCAGTTTAGAACACAATCTTTTAGCGGTATATAGTCTCACTTGATTGATTGCATTGTGCATGGATAGCTAAAGCATAACTATATATTTTCCATATTAACTATTTTCAATTATATAAATTTATGAATTTCCG